TGACCTTGCGAGCACTACAGATACTGATTTTAAAGTTACAAATAAAATTTAGTGAGCAGATGAATTTACAAATACAGAATCTGTGAATAAGGAGGAAGGACTATCATTCTCTTTTTTAAAAAAAATTTCATTTTGAATTAATTTAGAGTCCAGGTACCCATGTATTCTTACTTTTCATCACCGTAATCATATACACAAATTCTCACTTTGTCTTTACAACAACACACCATAGAAGTTTTTCCATAGTCTTAATTTTAGTAAGATACTCTTAATAAATACGTACTATGTGGTAGGCACTAGTGTGAAAACTACAGATTAAATATTTCATCAAGTAGTTGTAACATGATTTACTCAACCATTCCACTAAGTATAGATGTTACTTCTTTTCCAGTTATTCCTTTTATAGATGAAAAAAGGAGACCAAGAAGGATCTGTATCATTCTCTTATTGATGAGTATTTGTTTTGTATCAGTTTCTATAATGAACTAGACTGCTGTGCACATTCTAATGGAAGTCTTTGTGAGGACATGTTTTCATTTTCCTTGGGCACATACCTGGCAGTACATTTGCTGCATCATAGGGGAAGTGTATACTTAGCTTTGAAGCTACACTTGTGGTGAGCACAGCATAACATATAGAGAAGTTGAATCACTGTCATGCACCTGAAGTTAATGGTGTGTCAACTATAATCAAATAAAGTTTAAAAACTGGAACATTTTTTTTCCAATGAGTTTTACTAGTTTTCATTTGTTCCTACTCCTGAACTGTCTACTGAGCTACCATGGGTCTTCAACAACACTGGGAAAATATATAGAGTAGCCGAATTAGAGAAGCTGGTTGTGCTGTAAGAGGTTTGAGGAAAAGAGACAACCCTCCTTGGATTTCCTCATTTGCCAGTAGCCTTCCTTCACTGTTTCCCCAACAGTCAGCACATGACCCCAACACGGCTGCTCAGAGGATGACAGGCACATGGTGTGACAGAGGTGTCGTGGGCAGCTCTTAGCACACTTCCCATGGGGTGACAGCCTCTGGAATGGGTCCTTATTTCACACCGTGATTACTGACTCCTCCTGATATGTTAGTGTCATTTCTGGGATCTGCACAGGGTTAACGCTGAAGTGAAAATTTCAATGGGCCTTATTTTTTTTAATTAAAGATTTATTTATTTGAGAGAGAGAGAGAGAGAGAGAGAGAGCAGGGGGAGGGGCAGAAGGAGAGAATCTCAAGCAGACTCCTCTCTAAGGACAGATCCCTACATGGAGCTCCATCTCAAGACCCTGACATCATGACCTGAGCTGAAACAAAGAGTTGGACACTCAACAGACTAGCCACCCAGGCACCCCTGGGCCTCATTTCAAGAGATTTTAACTGATACACTTTTTTGGAGGATGATTTAATAATAGCTATTACATTTAATATAGTAATTTAGGAGGTTACAGCTGTACATGTGAAGATATTTATTGCAGCGGTTTTTTTTTTATTGGTGAAGAACTGGAAAAGGCAGTCACTTAAAATGGGAGAAGTACATTATTGCTAATATGCAAAGGCTTAATGCATGCACACATATAGGTATAACAAAAAGAAAGTAGCAGGACAATAGGCTTACTAAAATAGCAAATAAAGACCATATATAGACAAACTTGTATATGCATAGAAAATTTGGACACAACAAAAACTAATAGTCTTCAGCTCTAGAAGGTAGATCCGGAAAATCACACGTTATTGAGAAAGACTTTTGCATCTGTCTTATATCCCCATATAAAATTTTATTTTTGGGGACGCCTGGGTGGCTCAGCGGTTGAACGTCTGCCTTCGGCTCAGGGCGTAATCCTGGGATCTGGGATTGAGTCCCACATCAGACTACTTGCAGGGAGCCTGCTTCTCCTTCTGCCTGTCTTTCTACCTCTCTCTCTGTGTCTCTCATGAATAAATAAATAAAATCTTTAAAAAAATTTTTATTTTTTGCCATGTGTTGTGCCAACTTAATGATAAATGAAAAATGTTTTATTGAGGTAAGCATAAATATTTTAATTGTGATTTTGCTATTTTATTCAGTACCTCAGCCATCCTTACTTTTATGTACTATTTTTTTGTCAGTTCTCTATGTTGGTCTTATGCCCTTACCTCTCACTTCAAGTAGCTCAGGAAGGTGCCCTGATAGCATTTGAAGACCTACAAAGGAAAATGTGGCTGAAGAGCCACAGTTGGAATTGTGTGTGTGTTGCAGAGATGGGAACAGGTTGTGGCATTAGCAGATCCTGAAGTTGGTTTGCAGGGCAGATCCTATTTCTTTCTTACCAGAGTTACGGTAACTATAGTCAGAGAGTGTCTTGTAGAGGGGGAGTGCAGAAATTGTGTTGGGTAATATAGGATTCTTAGAACTTTCAGATGAAAAACTCTTTGACAGAGGCTAGTTGTTGGCTACTTTTTAAAAAAAAAGATTTTATTGATTTATTTGAGAGAGTGAAAGATTGCTGAGAATGCATCATGGAGGGGGGAGCACCAGCAGTGGGAGGGGGAAGAAGCACCATGGTGCGGGGAGTGTCGACAGGGGTGGGGGGTGCAAAGGGAGAGGAAGAAGCAGACTCCTGGCTGAGCAGGGAGTCCAACATGTAGAGGCACAGAAGAGAGCAGGGGCTGGCTGCTTACAGCTCAGACTATTAGGTGATTACCAGGACTTGGGGACTGGGTAGAAGGCAGCCTGGGCATTGAGAAACCCCTGACTAGGAGATTTCAAGTTTGCCCTTGACACAAAACTTCTCCATGTTTTAAATCTGATTAGTCTCGGGAGGAAAGGTGAAAGTTTCTCTGGCTTTTCCTTGACTTCATCCCTTGAGCTTCTCTGAATTGACAAGTTTAGTTTCTCAGTGAATAACTCTCTGTGGGGATGACAGGAGAAGGAAAGAAGGAGGGAGGGAGACAGAAGGAGACAGTTGGGATTCCAGAGCACTATTATTATTGGGCTTTTTTTCTAAGTACTCGTATGGGGACAATTTTCTCCTGTGTTGAGAGTGAGGACAGCAGCAGCTTGCTCTGGGCCACAGAGCGTGCTGTGTACTAGTCAGGAAGGAGGTAACCTAGGCTGATCCCTGGAGAGCCATAGAACATTCCAGTTCAGACCCTTTCTCTGGAGGTGAGTGTCTGCCTGGGCTCCCGTCTGTGAAGGAAAGAGTAAGGGAGGCTCAGCGTGGGAAGTTCTGGGGTTCATTGCTGTCTAAAATGAGGACACCTTCACTAGAGCATGAAGCGTGGGCTAGGGGAGCTGCGTAATGGAGGAGCTCAAATAAAATCCTCCCTCCATAGCAGAGACCCAATTCAGCTCTTCTCAGTGCTGGTGATAGACACAGCTCTCTGTCATGACCTAAGACCCTCCTCTCTCATTTGTCCTTATTTCTTGTTCATGTAAGCTTGCCATTTTGTTGGGGATCTCCAGGGAGAGAGAGCACAGATTGACCAGACAATGGTTTAGTGAAGAGTGAAGAGAGGGTCCTATTTTGTAACAGGAGGAAAAACAGGTCAGGGTGGATACTCTTTATGCATTCACTGACTTGTTTGGATAAATTTATTGAATAAATATGAAAAGAGTACATACCCTGTGTCAGACACTGTTCTTGGCACTGGATATGTGGTAGTGAACAAGAAAGACAAAGGTACTTCAATTTCAGCGATTGGTGAGAACCAATAAGAAGAAAGTTCTGCCTCATAGGAGGATAGAATGTGAAGATGTGCTTATACTGTTTTAGAGAGCGTGACTAGAGAGGGCTCCTGGTTGGAGACATCTGAGCAATGACCTGCATGTGGTGAGGAGGGACCCAGATATACTAAGCAGATATGCTTTTCCTTATTGGTACGACTCTGGAGAAAATGGGTGGACATAAACAGCAGATAGTCTCTGGGGACTTTTCGTAGCTTCTCCATGGGATGCAGACCATGGCTGGTTGTAAATAGAGACAGGCTGCCCTTTTGGCGGTCTTATCTCTTTGCTGAAACTAGAGATTTGAGACACAGGGAGGGCAGAGGATGTTGCTTATTTTCTTGTCTCTTGGTGCCAGGATGGAAATTGTACAGGTCAGATGGGAGTTGGGGATGGAAGTTCCAGCCTCCTCTTCACTCCTCTGGACTCCTACTCCCTGCTATCATCTGGTGTCAAAAGGAATAATCTCAGAGCTAGAAGTTAGCAACTGGAAACTAATGAGATTCTTCCTACCAGGAGGAGTCACAGTCACTGAAATGAGACACAGAGATGGCTTTCATGATGAGAACAAGGAGGAAGAAAGTGGATACTCCACTCCAGGGAGCCAACTCCCCAGAAGACAGGGAAAGACTCAAAACTTTGTCTCAATATAGATCTGATTTTATGACAATTTTCAGGTAGATCCCACCTCCCTACCAGCTGGCTCTAGCGACAGGCTGAAATGATGATTATGATAACTGAAGTGAGAACTTCAAGTGAACTAAGGCAAATGGAGCCCACATTCAGAGGAGAGGAAGGAAAGAAGTAACCATATCTGGGTGGGATTCTCAGGATTTTGTAGGGTATGGAGGCAAGAGGCAGAAAAGATAGTTTAGGGCATTCAATAGGGAAAGGTTGGTGGTATAAATGAGCACATTGTGATCAGGGAAGTGGACAGGGTGGCAGGTCAGAGCAGAGTTGGAGGCAGAAGGGCCAGTGAGTAGAAAGATTAGGGTGCATGCAGGGGTGAGTGGGTAGGTTTTCCTGCCTAGGATGTGGTATTGGTAATTATTGCTCATCTTCATATATATATATATATGTGTGTGTGTGTGTGTGTGTGTGTGTATTTTCATATGTATTTTCTTCATAAGACATTTAACATCAACCTTGTACAGAGAATAGTAGATGAATCCACTTGTCATATGTGGAGCCTAAGAGCAGAGATGATATTTCCTCTGCCTGGGAATAAACTTAGTCCTTTGAATTTAGAAGCATGTGAACTCCCCTTTGTTTTCTAGATTTCATAAAAGACAAGACGCAGGACTAAATGTTGAAGAATTATTCTAGTGCTGTTGAATTTTATCTCCTTGGCTTCCATGGCTCCAAAGAACAACACGATATTCTTTTTGCCACTTTCTTCTTTCTCTACTCAGTGACAGTCATGGGAAATATGCTCATCATTGTGATTGTCTGTGTTGATAAACGTCTGCAGTCCCCCATGTATTTTTTCCTTGGCCACCTCTCTGTCCTAGAGATCCTGATTACATCAGTTGCCGTCCCCTTGATGCTCTGGGGGCTGCTGCTTCCTGAGATGCAGGCAATATCTTTGCCAGCCTGCAGTGCACAATTATATTTGTACCTTTCTTTGGGTACATCGGAGTTGGTATTAATTGGAGCAATGGCTGTGGACCGTTACGTGGCAGTCTGTAACCCTTTGAGGTACAACATCATTATGAACAGCCACACCTGCATCTGGGTGGTCATTGTGTCATGGGTGTTTGGGTTCCTATTTCAAATCTGGCCAGTGTATGCCACATTTCAGCTTACCTTCTGCAAATCAAATGTATTAGACCATTTTTTATGTGACCGAGGGCAACTGCTCAAATTATCCTGTGATGACAGCCTTTTCACAGAGTTTATCCTTTTTTTAATGGCTGTGTTCATTATTGTTGGTTCTTTGATCCCTACAATCATCTCCTACACCTACATCATTTCCACCATCCTCAAGATCCCCTCAGCCTCTGGGCGGAGGAAAGCCTTTTCTACGTGTGCGTCCCACTTCACCTTTGTCGTGATCGGGTATGGCACCTGCTTGTTCCTCTATGTGAAACCCAAGCAAACACAGGCAGCAGAGTATAATAGGGTAGCGTCACTGATGGTTTTAGTGGTGACCCCTTTTCTGAACCCATTTATCTTCACTCTCCGTAATGACAAATTTATTGAGGCCTTTCGAGATGTCATGAAACGCTGCTATCATCTCCACAAGGGTTAGCTGTGTCCTATGGACAGTCATGGACTCATCATCATGGACCTGAGTAATGTGAAAGCACTAATTCAATCTGAAATAATCATTTTCAACACCAAGTGGTTTGTGATGCACAGAGGAACTCTACAAAATGCTTCAAGGGCGTTTTAACACACTGAAGGTGTTCCAATTTATAATCAGATGGTTCCTACATGGGAGATCTCATTAGTATATTTTAACTGGATATATACATTTATATACTTTTCTGTAAATATAATACATCTTACAATGTAAATGTACAAAATGTATGTGATATTTTTTAGTACACTAAGTTCTTTGGGCAAACAAGAAAGACTATAACTCATTCAGTGGCAACTGACTCTATGTTGGACTTTAGGTGCTGGGTCACCTTTCCGTATGTTGTCCTGTGTTTCCATGATTTTCTCTATTTGTTCTGAGTGACCCCAAGTCCAGCCTTAGGCCTCAACCTTTTCTTGAGGTTCCTGCTCCCAGGTCCAATAGGAACCTGGGGATAGGACTGGCAGTTGTGAGAGTGAACTCACTCCACAATCCTGCCTTCTTCCCATCCTCAGGGCCAGATATGTGTTAATTCAGGCACATCTCTAATTGGTGGACTTTCTCAGGGTGAGGAGGGAAAGTCTTGGACACAGACATTTTCTTATCTGCTATGACTCATATTATCATGCCAGTCCCAAATGTATGAGATCAATGGGCTGAGTTCTGGGACCTGAAGTGACAAGAGTGAGCTGAACTTGCTGTGTCCCTGGGCTGAGCCAGTGCAAGGAAGGCAAATGGGGAAGCCCCTGGTTCCTTCTCCCTGCTTTCTTTACATTGTTCAACCTGATAAAGGGCATTCCATCTCCCTTCTCCCTCAGCTGCATTTCTGTCCTGCTCTACAGTGAGCTTAACCCACGTCTCAGTTCCTATATTGTCCCATCCCAGCCTCTTTCCTGACACACCACCATTTTAATATTTATGCCATTCTAATGTGGTTAAGCAGGGGTCAAAAGATTATGCACATGAGACTACTTTCCCAAGATAATATATCTATGTATGATGGTGACTGTTCTATGGGCACTTGAAAAGAATATGTATTCTGCTGATTTAGGATGGAGTGTTCTGAATATATCTGTTAGATTTACCTGGTCCAATGTGTCATTCAAAGCCACTATTTCCTTGTTGACTTTCTGAATGATTTATCCATTGATGTAAGTGGGGTATTAAAGTCACCTATTCTTATTGTGTTACTATTCATTATGTCCTGCATGTTTATTAAGAGCTGTTTTATGATGTGGATACTCCTATGTTTAATGCATAAATATTTAAAATTGCTACATCTTCTTGTTGGAATGTAATGTCCTTGTCTCTTGTTACATCTTTGTTTTAAAGTCTATCTTGTCTGATATAATTATCACTACCCTGGCTTTCTTTTCTTTTGCATGAGCAATGCTTTTCCATCCGCATGTGTCTTAGGCCTTAAATGAATCTCATGTAGGCAGCAGATGGGTGGGTCTCGCTTTTATATTCATTCCATCACATATGTCTTTTGATTGGAGACTTTATCATTTACATTCAAGGTAATTATTTACAGGTGTACTTATTGCCATTTTGTTACTTGTTTTATGATTATTTTTATAGTTCTCTGTGTCTTTCTTCTCTCATGGCTTGCTGGCTCTCTTTAATATGATTGAATTTCTTTCTCTTTATTTCTTACATATTACTGGTTTTTGATTTGTGGTTACTATTTGGTTTATATATAACATCTAAGCACGTAACAGTCTCTAGTAAGTTGTGGTTGCTTAAATTTGAACCCATTCTTTACTCCTCACCCCCCCCTAACATTTAGGTATATGATATCATACTTTACATCCTTTTATTTTGTGAATCCCTTGACTGATTTTTATAGATGTACTTAATTTTTTTTTGCTTTGTGCTTCTTACATTTCTTACTCCTGCTTATGGTCTTTCCTTTCTACTCGAAGAGTCCCCTTTTCATTTATTGTGAATGATTTAGTGGTCATGAATTCCTTTAACGTTTTTGTGGGGGGGGGCAGTGACAGTGGCCCAGGGGTTTAGCGCCGCCTTCAGCCCAGGGCATGATCCTGGAGTTCCAGGTTCGAGTCCCACGTCAGGCTCCCTGCATGGAGTCTGCTTCTCCCTCTGCCTCTGTCTCTGTCTCTGCCTCTCTCTCTCTCTCTCTGCGTCTCTCATGAATAAATAAAGTCTTAATTTTTTTTTTAATTTGAGAAACTCTTTATATCTCCTGTTACTCTGTACCAAAGCCCTGCTGGATACAGTATTCTTGGTTGTAGGTTTTTTACTTTAACAACTTTGAACATATCTGGCCTGCAGAATTTCGGCTGAAATTAGATAGTCTTAACAGGGCTTTCCTTGTAGGTTTTATTTTCTCTTAGTGCTTTTAAATTTTTCTCCTTATCACTACTTTTGCCATTTTATTTTATTTAATATATTTATTTATTTGAGAGAGACAGAGAGAGAGGAGAGGGAGGAGCAGAGGAGAAGAGAGACTGTCTTCAAGCTGACTCCCTGGTGAGCATGGAGCTCATTGTGGGGCTCAGTCCCATGACCCTGAGATCATGACCCCAGCTAAAGTCAGATCCTTAACCAACGGAGCACCTTAGGCACCCTACTTTGTGCCATTTTGAATACCATGTGTCTCCATGTGGAGCTTAGTCTTATCAGTGCCCTGAATTCAGCTGCCAATCTACAGAAAATATGTGCAGAACAGAAAGATATATTTTAGTGTACCATAAGGGTGACATCACCAAAATCCAGACTACAGGAAACTACTGTCAAAACACCTTGTGAATGCAACAAATGGATTATAAGGAAAAGAAAGGGATGGTGAAAAGGTTTACAGATTAAAGGGAGTAAAGAATACATGAGATTTTTAGAAAATGGACAAGACTAAGCTATAGTGTGTGGTGATGCAAATTTGGTTGATGAAAGAAAGGTAGTAAAGTGATGATTGCAAAGATAGTTACTTGTGGGGAAATGAGGACTGTGATTATAATGGGGGTAATGCAGAAGGTTCTGGGGTTTCTATGAATGTTCTTTCTTTCTCTTTGATCTGGGTGGTAGTGACAAAGGTACTTACCTCATGATAAATTAGATACACATTTGCTTTGTGTAGCGTTTCTGTATCTGTAATTTATATTAAAATCAACTAATTAGGGATGCCTGGGTGGCTCACTTGGTTAAGTGTCTGCCTTTGGCTAAAGTCATGGTCCCAGGGCCCTGGGATTGAGCCCCAGATTGGGCTCCCTGCTCAGCCGGGAGTCTACTTCTTCCTCTTTCCCCTGCTCGTTCTCTCTTTCTCTAATAAATAAATAAAATCCAAAACAAAATAAAAAAAAGAAAAGGGAATACATATTAGAACAGAAGTTATTTATATTCTTTTTATTTGCTTTTTGACAGTTCTGTTTTTTGATTTATACTAAATCAAAGTTTTGATTTTATTAAATTTTATTAACACACAAATATATCAGTATGTTGAGAAAATATTTGCAAGAACAATAAATATGTGATGCTAAAAAACTAAAACCAAATGATTAGGGGGACTTTTGTTTTCCAGTTCAGTATGTAAGGATCTTGGAAGTTGTCACTGTTGCTGACAACAAGAGTAAAACACAAAGAAACTGAAAAGCATCATAGTTTCTTAAATCCATCAGAGAATTCAGGTCACAGGGCAAACCATTGCTCTCCAGATTGGAAAGATGGGCAAATACGATGAATGACGGGTACTGGGGCAGATACTCTGGAGCAGAAGCCCATTGTTGGAGCCAGTATAAAGTTAGAAGAATTTAAAGGTACATGACAAATTTTGGAGGCTCAGTGTGGACAACCTTGAGGGTGTCAGTCTCAGGAGGGCCCCCACACATTTGTGAATTGTGTCCCTAGGACCCTTGTCAGGATCACAGGGTGAAGATCAGAGAACTAGGAGTCCTATCAAATTAGGGGAAGGGGAAGAGTAACCATTGTGAAATACACCAAGAGCATCCTCTTCCTTAGAAGCCTACCTTCAGTGGTAACTATTTTGTTAACGCCTAAATATGTTTGATTTTCACCAGAGTCTAAGCAATCTGGGGAGAGGGAAATAGCCAGCTCCAGGTCTGTCTGTCCTTCCTGTTTCACCAAGGTTACAGGGAAGGTAACCCAGGGACACAGGCTCAGGGAAAGACTGAGACCTAATGATTGGACTATGGAATGCTTCACTCCCTCCACTCCTTACCACCACATCAGTAGGGCTTATGTATGATAACAGGGGATCAAGAGAAATAGCTGTGAGTCTAAGACCTTATTTAAGAAGGAGATTCTAGGGAAACACAAAGACAACAGATGAGACAGCAATAAGAACAAGAGATTTATTTTAGCCTCTCACACCTACAGCTGCATTAAACAGTAAACACAGCCCACCTCCTAGCCAGGTAAACATATGACTCATAGAAGACCAGTTTACCTCAGGTCTTCTCAAACTTTTTGTAATGTACAGCTTCCAGTGAAATATAACAAGGAATACTAAAATAAAACAAAACAAAAGAATACAGCCCCCACCCCCCCAAAAAAAGTATGAAGAGACAGGACAAACATGAGAACCAGACTCAGATATGGCAGAAATGTTGAAATAATCAGACTGGGATTTAAAAATAACTAGGTTAACACGCTAAGGGCTCTAGTAGAAGAGTGGCCAAAATGCAAGAGTCAATGAGTGACGGCAGTAGAGCAGTGGAAACCCTAAGAAAGAATAAAAATGAATTGTTAGAGAAGAAAACCGATTTAAACAGAAATAAAGCTGTCTTTAATGAGCTCAGGAAAAGAGTACACATAGTTGAGGAAAGAATCAGTGAGCTTAATGGTATTTCATAGAAACTTCAAAACAGAAATGCAAAGTGAAAAAGGAATAAAAGAGATAAAACAGAGTATCTAAGAATTTGGCATCATTACAAAAGTTGTATCTTCTGTGTCCTGGGGATACGAGAATTAGC